CATGCTAGCATGGAATAAAAAGGCTATTTTGTTTTTCGCATCAGGCTCGGCTCCCTGGTGGTCCTTGGGGATCTTGAAATCTGGGCATCACACAGTCAGGTTGTAGCCAGGCCCTGCGTCCTAAGAGCCACGGCCGCCTCTGAAAAGTGACGGTACAGTTTTTGCCCTCATCTGCTTCATCTCAGGCTCCCCACACCCCGGAGAGCTTTGTTTCTAGGCAACGGCAGGGCTTTCCCCAGGCGGCTGGGTTCTTTAAAGACGTCAGAGGTAGAGAGAGCCATGCATTCTGCCCAGAGAGTCAGCTTCCCAGACGGGACCCCCCCGCGCCGTGAGGTTCAGCACCACGGCCAGTTGTATGGGGAAAGGGTTCAGTGCCACGGACAGCTCAGTCCCACTCCACAGAAAGGAACTCCATGGGGAAGAAAACCCCCGTCTGTCTGGCTTAGTTCTACAGGCAGGTCAGGGGTCTGTGGGGAAAGGGGGGCACCACAGACAAGGTCACAAGATCAATCCGAAAGAGGGTTCAGCGCCATGGCCAAGTCTAAAGGGCAAGGGGTTCAGTGCCACAGGCAGGGCTGGGGGTGAGGGTGGGTGGGTTTCAGCACCACGGACAAAGAGCCTCAGGTGTCTGCTTTAGCCTCGTGGACAGGGAAATGTGGTTCAGCACCACGGACAGCTCAGACGACACCCCCCCCACACACAGGCAGGTCTGTGGAGGTTTCAGCACCACGGACAGGTCTATTGGATAAAAAGCTCGGCGCAGGGCGGGTCTATGGGGGAACTATTTCAGCACCACGAACAGTGTGTGTGTGTGTGTGTGTGTGTGTGTGTGTGTGTGTGTGTGTGGTTCAGCACCACGGACAGGCCCACCGGAGCCAGGGCTCAATGCAGGCCAGATCTATGGGAGACTGATTTCAGCACCACGGACAGGTCTGCAGGGAACAGGTTTCAGAACCTCTGACAGTTCTTTTCGGGGGCGGTTCATGGACAGGGCTGCAGGGGGCGGTATCAGCACCACGGACAGAGTGTGTGTGTGTGTGTGTGTGTGTGTGTGTGTGTGTGTGTGAGTGTGTGAGTGAGAGAGGTTCAGCACCACGGACAGGTCCATCGGAGCCAGGGCTCAATGCAGGCCAGATCTATGGGAGACTGGTTTCAGCACCGCGGACAGGTCTGCAGGGGCGGATTTGCTTCAGCACCTCGGACAGTGTCCGCAAGGGACCAGTTTCAGCACCTCAAACAGGGCTGCGGGGGCGGTATCAGCACCACGGACAGCTCCCTGTGGGTGACTTCAGCGCCACGGACAGTGCGCGCGGTTGCGGTTTCAGCACCTCGGACAGGGGCTTAAGCACAGGCCAGTCCATCTGTGTGTCTGTGTGACGCTCAGCGCCGCGGACAGCCCCAGTGCCTCCCCCCCCAGGTCTCCTCTAGCTGCCTGTTTCTTTGAGCAGATCCCTGACCAAGGCCGCTCCCCGCCCTCACCCCAGAGTCTCTGAATGCTGGCGCTTCAGCCACCCAGGCTCCCCTGGTGTGAACCTCAAAACGCAGGACTGACAACTCACCGTGCCCCCGAGGGAATCCGTGCTTTCTCCGTGCACACACACACACACACACACACACACACACAATTCCTCCCTGCTCAGTGCCCTCCTGTCTCCTTGAGTTCTCCTTCCCTCTCCCCTCTCCCGCCCTGTCCATCCGGGACTCCGCGCAGCTCCATCTCCAAAGTGTATTCAGAGTCAGTCCCCCTGTGTGTGCCACCCCCGCCTTCCGGCCACGTCATTCTCATTCTCACCTGGTTTATTGCCACCGCCTGGTACAGGGTCCTTCCGCCGTACCCGTGGCCCCTTCCCGAGCCCCAGCTTCAGTGATGCCTTGAATGTCACCCAGGTTGTGTGGCCCCCTCTTCTCTGTATCTCCCCCCTCCCCATCCAAGGCTTCCCAGCGCCCCTGCCATCACGTTATAAGATGTTCCTGTGGCTTTCAAGACCCCGGATCCCTCTCAGGTCTTATCTCCCATCACCCCCTTTCTTGCCCGAACACTGGATACACGGGCCAGGAGAAGGAAATTGATATATTTAAAAAACAACAACAGTATTTGGCATTATTTACTTTTTTACCTTCACAGCAATCCTGAGAGGGAGTAAGCATGTTATTTCTGAACAGAATGGGAAGCTGAGGCACGGAGATGCTAAGTGGCAGCGACACAGTAGCCGGCCTCGGACCCAGGGCCCCCAGGCTGCCCTGCTCCCGCCAGCGCCTCCCTCCCTCCGCCCCGACCGCCTGCGGGTGCCTTAGCGGGTTGTGGCCATAACCTCCAGGAGGGCCCATGGGCGGGGGATGGACGGCGCATCCCACTGAGGCCAACTTCACAGCCATCTCCCCCCAATTCCCACCCCACCCCCATGCCACCCCCCTGCGCTGCGGGCACCGCGTCACCGCCGCTCCGCTCCCTCCCCGCACCCTCCCTCTGCCAGGCGCGGGCTCCGGCCGGGAAGAAGGAGGGGACTGTCCGCCCCCCCCCCTCCCGCCCTCCCGCCCCCACCCCCGCCCGCAGCCTCCGCGCCTGCGCAGCCCTGATTCCTGCCCGTGATTCCTGCCCGCGATTCCTGCCGCGCCATCTCTGCAGCAGCAGCAGCAGCGCCCGGACCGTCTGATCGCGGAGAGTGAGTCCCTCCCGGGCCCCGGGGTGGGGGGTGGGGGGAATGGGGCTGGGGGCGCTGGAGGACGGGAACCCGTGTGCCGGGGCGAGGGGCGGCGGAGGGGCTGCCGGGTGGCGGAGGGCTGGGTCCGGGCTAGTTCGGGGCTACTTCGGGGCTACTTCGGGGCTGGGTCGGGGCTGCCCGGTGGCCGGGGGCTGAGTCGGGGCTAGTTCGGGGCTAGTTCCGGCTCGGTCTGGGCTGGGTCCGGGCGGGGTTCGGGCTGGGTCCGGGCTGGTTCGGGGCTGGTTCGGGGTTGGGTCGGGCTGGGTCTGCCCCCCGGGGGGCCGGCGGGTTGATGCCCCCGCATTCATCCCGGACCCCGAGGGCGGGCGCCCCGCGCTGATGTCCCGGCGCCTGGCGCGGCGGGTGGCGGGGCTCCGGGTTCCCGTGCGCCTCCCCGCGCGGGTGCCGGGGGTCCCGGGCGTCCGGAGTGTCCCGTACGTGTGTCCCCTCTCCCCTCCGCAGGGGCTGGGGCTGAGAACAGGGAGACGGGGCTCGCCTCCCCGCCCAGCTCCCTGAGCCCCGTGGCCGTAACCCAGGACCCGTCCCCCCGCGCGCACGGGGTCTCCGGGGGGTCAGGGGGCTCCGCCAAAGACCCGTCTGCGCTGCGCCGGGACCAGCGCTGCAGTGCGGACCCGCCCGGCTGTGGGGACTGTGGTTGTGGTCCAGGATGTTCCCGTCCTCTTTCCCCTTCCCTCCCCCTTCTCCTCCCCTTCCTTTCCCCTCCTCTCCTCTCCCTCCTCCTTCTCTACCCCCTCCTCCCATCTCCCCGCCCTCCTCCCTCCGCCCCCCTCCCTCCATCCAGCAGATCCAGCTCCTCCTGACCCGGACCCGCGGCCCCTCCTTCCTCCCTCTTCCCTCCTTCTTCCTCCCTCCTCCCTCCGTCCCGCCTCTGCCCTGCGCTTCCCGGGCTTAAACACCGGACCCTGTGCGCCTCCCGCTGAAAACAAAGCAAATCCAGAAGCGAACCCGCACCCCAAGCAGTGCGCTCCCCCCTCTGTCCACCCAGGCCCGTGCGTTCCGTGTTGGTGTAATCGCTGGCACCGTCACCAGCTGTCCCGCCCGGCCCCCTCCCTCTCCTCCCTTCCTCTGGTCTCCACCACACTGGAGTCTGTGTTTTCTTATTTATTTATTTATGTTTTAATCCTCACCCAAGGATTTGTGTTTATTGATTTGAGAGAGAGAGGGAGGGAGGGGGAGAGAGAGAGACATGGATGTGAGAGGGAGACATGGATGTGAGAGGGAGACATGGATGTGAGAGAGACACAGATGTGAGAGAGAGACACGGATGAGAGAGACACGGATGTGAGAGACACGGATGTAAGAGAGACATGGATGTGAGAGACACGGATGTGAGAGAGACATGGATGTGAGACACGGATGTGAGAGGGAGACATCCCCCACTGGCCCTCTCCCATTTGCCCAGACAAGGGATTGAACCCCCCCAACCTGGGTATGTGAACCGACCAGGAATTGAACCCTGGACCTCTTTGGTGTAGAAGACGATGCTTCAGCCAGCCGAGCCCCGGGCCAGGGCCCGCTTGGGCTTCTTGGAAGCTGCGTCCATGCTGGTGGCCCCTCCCACACCCCCCTGCCCCTCCCTCAACCCACAGTGCCCTGCGCACACAGCCTGCGCTCACGGCTCCCAGGCTGCCTTCCTTCTACCTTTTAATGTTAAATAAATAAATATGTCTCATTTAAATACGTGTTTTTATTGTTGACAGCATTACAACTGCCCCCCATTTCCCCCTCAATCCCCCTCCACCCAGCCCTCAGGCCTTCACCCCCCTGTTGTCTGTGTCCACGGGTAGTGCGTATCCTAATAAAAGGGTGATATGCAAATTAACCATTACTCCCTCACAAAGGGTGGTGGTGCCCGTAGTCACAAGATGGAGGCGCCCAGTGCTCTCAGCCCCGCCAGAGTCCCCCAGTCCCAGGGTGGGGGGCGGCCGCTGAGAGCGGGCAGCGTGAGCAGCCAGGCGGAATGCTTGCTTTGTCCCAGAGGCAAGCGTTCTGGGCCAGTGTGTGTGCGTGTGAGTGTGTGTGTGTGTGAGTGTGTGTGCTGCTTTATTTGTCTCCACAGCACATACCACCGTTCCACACACTGTCTGTCTCTCTCCCCGCACTAGACCAGGAGGGGAGGGCAGGGCAGGGGGCTCCCTTCTCATCTGCGGGCCTCTGGGCCCCTGGGCGCTGGGTGACAGAGTGTCTGTTGGTCCTCAGGTTCCGAAGCCTGCGCCCAAGGACCCGGCTCGACCTTGGCACCGAGGAGAAGGCCGCTGGGAAGGGCCCCCTGGAGACATGCAGAGTCTGACACAGCAGCTGCACGCGGGGCTGATGCAGCCCGAGATGACCCAGCTGCTGCTGCCGCCCTATGAGACCACGGTGCCCTACGACAGCAGGGTGTCCTACGACACCAGTGTGTCCTATGACACTACGGTGCCCTATACCACCACGGTTCCCTATGACACTACGGTGCCCTACACCACCACGGTTCCCTATGACACTACGGTGCCCTACAACACCACGGTGCCCTATGACACCAGTATGGCCTACAACACCACGGTGCCCTACACCACGTATGATAGCAGGGCAACCTATGATACCAGGGCCTGGGACCGGCAGGGTGCCTACCTCCAGGACTGGGTGGCAGTGAGGGTGCCTGCTGGCACCAGTGACCAGAAAGGTGAGGGCGTGGGTCCCTCGGGAGGTGGCGGGGAATTTGGGGCAGAGCCTGGAGAGGATGAGACAATCGTGGCTTCACTGACCCACTCAACACATTTTTCAAGATTTACTTATTTCCCTCAGCCTGGACTGCACCCTCTCCAATCTGGGACCCCTTGGGAGATGTCCAGCTGCTGATTTAGACCTGATCCCTGTGGGATCAAGCCTAAAATGGCAGTGGGACACCCCTCTCACAATCCAGGACAACTGGCTGCTAACCGCTCAACTGCCTGCCTGCCTACCTGATCGCCCCCAACTGCCCTCCCCTCTGGCCTGATTGCCCCCAACTGCCCTCCCCTCTGGCCTGATTGCCCCCAACTGCCCTCCCCTGCTGGCCTGATAGCCCCTAACCACCATGGCTTCATCCAGAGAGTTATCTGGAAGGATGTCCGGTCTGATTAGCACATTCCACTTCTATTATTATAGATTTTTGTTAGTCCTCACCAAGGATATTTTTTCCCATTGATTTTTATTTCTTTCTTTTCTTTTTTTTTCTTTTCCATTTACTTTTGTTTTTATTTTTATATATTTTTATTGATTTCCAAGAGGAAGGAAGAGAGAGATAGAAAGATCCATGATGAGAGGGGATCATGGACTGACCGCCTCCTGCATACCTCCCACTGGGGACGGAGGCCACATCCCGGGCATGTGCCCTTGACCAGAACAGAACCCGGGGCCTTTCGTCCACAGGCTGATGCTCTAGCCACTGAGCCAAACCGGCTAGGGCTCTATTGATTTTTAGAGAGAGGGGAAGTGAGGAAGGGAGAGAGGGAGGAGAGAGAGAGAAACATCGATGTGAGAGAGAGCAAGCAGAGTTCCTCCACCCAGCTGTTCCGGTCTCTTGCCCATGGCTCCTTTCTCTCCCCCCAGTCCCAGACCCGTCTCCTCAAGAGACCAAGCAGCCGCAGGAGTGGAAACCTGTGGAAAGCGAGCCGGAGGAACCCCAGGTAAGCCGGGGTTCCCACCTCTGTCACAAACATCCCCCCTGCGACCTCAGTGAGTCGTCTCACTCCCTTCCTGCCATTTCCCTGCCCCACAAGCCTCTGCTGTGGGATGGGAGCCCCCTGAGGTTGCCCACGGGAAACAGAACACGTCTATGGCGGTCAGACACGGCGTGGACGGCGTCCGTGGGACGTGTGTAACTCCAACCACCAACGCCCTCCATTCTTCACTCATAGGTTCATTATAACTAACCACTCACTCCTCTGCCCTCTCACTCAGCCACCCTAGCTTTCATTGTCTACTCTTCCGTCTGCGTGCAGGTCAGTCCCGTGGCCCCATTTCCCCACAGGTAACCATGGCGACCCCTCCCTTTCCACATTCATCCTTCTCTCCCCCTTCTGTTCCAGGGCACCCTGGAGTGGCCGCGACCCCCCCAGCAGACCACCCTGCTCCTGATCGTGTGCGGGCTCTTCCTGTTCCTGGTCTTAACCGGGATGCCCGCTGCCTTTTACATCTGAGCCGAGAGAGAGAGATAGAGGGAAGGAGGGAGGGAGGGAGAGAGAGAGAAAAAAAAAACATGGATGTGCTGTCCCACTTACTCATGCATTCGTCGGTGGACCCTGGTGTGTGTGCCCTGACTGGGAATCGAACCCCCAACCTTGGTGTGTATCCTGACAAAGCTCTGGCCGACAGAGCTACCCAGCCAGGGAGGGCTCCGGGTCCCCGTTTTTTTGAGCATTTCATTCATTTACGAGTTTCTTTCAACGGAATCACTTGCTGTAATAGTAGACGTAGCTTCTGATCCTAGCCGTGGCCGATTCTGATGCCCAGTCATTTCGTGTTCTGTTGGGTAGGTTGTTGTGCTTCAAAACTCAGTGACGGGGGTTTCTTTATCTGGTCCACCCCGTGCTGTGTCCGTGACTTCCCACCTGGTGGACGGAGGATGGGGCCCGGGACAGCTGTGTTCCCCACACCCTTCCCCAAAAAGCTTTCACCCTGGCCAGAACGAGTCCGATGCTGGTAGGCGATCCACGGGCCTGTCAGAGGAGTCCATGGCTTCTGCCCGTGGAACGGAAAGCCCTGTGGGTCAGCTCAGTCTCACCAGTCCCGTTGTTCGGAGCCGTGTCACGGCGGCCTGACCCCCAGCCGCCGGACACCGGGAGGTCACGCCGAAACCTGTCCATGCAATCCCGTGTGCCAGTGCCGTCCTGCTAGCCGCTGTCTGTGTACTCGTCAGCAGTGTACTGCGATGCCCGTGCAGCCTTGTGACGTCTTTGCCGAATCAATCCAGAGCCCGTGGCCGCACACGCGCCCGGCGTTTAGGTGGGGCTCAATAAACGGTAGTAAAAACCCCAACTCGGAGTCTCTGTCGAATAGAATGCGATCGTCTCTCTCTCACCCGTTCGGTCCTTGGCCGTGAACTTGGTCTTGTCTCCTGATTTAAAAAAAATATATATATATATATTTTATTGATTTTTTTTACAGAAAGGAAGGGGGAGAGGGAGACAGAGCTAGAAACATCGATCAGCTGCCTCCTGCACACCCCTCACCCCCCCACTGGGGATGTGCCAGCAACCACGGTCCATGCCCTTGACCGTAATCGAACCTGGACCTTTCAGTCCACAGGCCGACGCTCTATCCACTGAGCCACACCAGTTGGGGCCAAACCAGATTTTCACGTGGTTTTTTTTTTTTAAAGGGAGGGGGAGGGAGAAAGAGTGAGGCCTCAGTCAGCTGCCTCCTGCTTGCACACTTCCCCTGCCCCCACCGGGGATCAAGCCTGAAACCCCCAGGTGAATGGGACGATGCCCAATCAACATGGCCACGCGGGGCAGGACTACCACCCTGGTTTTTAAATTCCTGTGTGTGTGTGTGTGTGTGTGTGTGTGTGTGTGTGGACACGCACCCAGAGGGTCTTTGTGTCATTAAAAAAATGTATTAGTGGATTTTTATTTTAGCGGAGGGGAGGAGGGAGAAGCGGAGGGGAGGAGGGGGAGGGAGAAGCCTGTAGTAGTTGATTTTTAGAGAGAAATGAAAGGAGAGGGAGAGAGAGAAACATGGATGAGAGAGGAACATCATGGATCAGCGGCCTCCTGCCCGCCCTCTACTGAGGATGGAGCCTGCAACTGGGGCCTGTGCCCTGAAGGTGAATTGAACTGGGGACCTCTTGGTTCCTGGGTGGACGCTCAATCGCTGAGCTACACCAGCCAGACTCATTTAAAAAAAAAAAATAGATTGATAGATAGATTTCAGAAAGAGGGAGAGAGAAACATCAATGAGGAGAGTCAGAGACTCTTTGATCAGCTGCCTCTGTCACGACCCCTTTTGGGGATCAAGCGCACAACCCAGGCACGTGTCCTGGAATCAAACTCCGACCCTTCAGTCCGCAGGCCACGCTCTATCCACTGAGCCACATCGGTTTCAGCAAAAATATATTTAAAATAAATAAATAAAATCAGGGGGGAAGGGTGGGCGGGGATGCCTCTGGCTGCAAGGGGGTCCTGGCTGGTCATCCTTGGGCGGGGCCGCTGGGGGACAGTGGCTGGGTCGCTGGGGGTGGGGCTGTGCACGCCGCCACCAGAAAGCGGGGCTCCCCTGAGCCGGGGGGCCCCCCAAAGCCGCCACCTGCTCCTCTTGGCTTCCCTGGAGCCCCCACGTTTCAAAGGCGCCGCAACCAGGATGTGTGCGGACTCCTCGGCCAGGGGGGCGCCTCCCCACAGCCGGGGGGGGGGGGGGGGAACCAGGCTGGCGCCCCTCACTCACCACCTCCTGCCCTCCCCTCTGCGCCTGCGCACCGTGACCGTGACCAGGCGGCTCTCCCTGATTAGAGGGACTGGCCCCGCCCACATCCTGGCTGACCCAGGCCACGCCCACATCCTGGCTGACCCATGGCCCCGCCCACATCCTGGCTGACCCATGGCCCCGCCCATATCCTGGCTGATCATTAGCCCCGCCCGCATCCTGGCTGACCCAGGGCCACGCCCATATCCTGGCTGACCCAGGGCCCCTCCCACATCCTGGCTGACCCAGGGGCCCCCCTACATCCTGGCTGACTCAGGGCCCCGCCCACATCCTGGCTGATCATTAGCCCCGCCCACATTCTGGCTGATCATTAGCCCCGCCCACATCCTGTCTTACCCAGGGCCCCGCCCACATCCTGGCTGACCCAGGGCCCGGCTGGGGGTGGGGGTGGGTGACTCCTGTTCTCTTGGGTGATGGGACTGGACCCCAAGTCTGTAATCTAGGATCCCGTTTCCCTCATCCATCTATTCACCTGAGGGCCCCAGGCTGGGCGAAGTCCGGGTCAGAGGGCGGAGCCAGGCGGTGTGGTCCACCATGACTTGAGGGGATGCTAGGGCAGGGCATGGGGAATGGTCACCTGGTATCCCACATCCCCCACCTGTTCTTTACCTTCTGAGCACCTACAATGGGCTGCTGAATGAGTAATGGCACGTCCCACCACCAGTCCTGGGTTGTTCAGGGTTTGGGACAACACAACTAGTTCTCCCCTCTGCCCCAGACATCACCCATCGCAGACCTCAGCACACAGTGGGTCCTCAGGAGGTATGTGCTGAGACCAGCGCTGGGCCATGGCTGGGGCACAGGGAGGAAACCAGCTGGGTGGAACCCCCGACCCTCAATGACGCCAGGACGGATGCGGGGACGTATAACCATTCATCCGGTCACCGGGCACTGCTTGAGGACCTACTGCGTGCGGAGGCCCGGGCTTGGCAATGTTGGAGTCAGCGGGAAGAACCAGAACGTGTGGTCTTTGACTCTGAGGGCATCCGGGGCGGGTGCCAAGGACGATCACCTGCTATTGACTCACTCACTTGGCCCGCTAATTGACACCTCCTGAGGGCCTACTGTGTGCTGAGGTCTGCGACGGGCGCTAACTGGGGCAGAGGGAAGAGCCAGCTGTGTTGTCCCCAACCCTGAACAACCCAGGGCTGGTGGTGGGATGTACCATTACTCATTCAGCAGCCCACCACTTCTTGAGGACCTACTGTGTGCTGAGACCGGTCCAGGAGATGCTAGAAGTAAAAAAAAAAAAAAAAAAAAAAAGGCATTCTCCTTCCAGGCTCTCACCAATGGGACTAAGCCTTTTATTAATTCACTGAACAGATGCCTGCTCAATCATGACATCAGCAATTACGAGGCCAGCCCCAAACCCACAGATACCGCTTCAGGCCTGTGTTCATTGGTGGCTCACTTCATGAGTCTGAGAGGAGAGAGAGAGGTGGGGGGGAGGGGGAGGAGGAGACCTGGGGGCATCCTCAGTGACTGAAGGGGGGAGGGCAGACTGCTCTGTCACTGGTTCCATGCCTGTGTGTGTCCCTCCAGGCCCTGGGCTGGGAGAGGAGGAGCGGAGGAGGCCTGAGCCTGCAGTTCCCAGGGTGGAGTGCTGGCAGCCACGGCCACAGGCAGTGAAGAGGGAGGAGGGGAGGCCAGGGGGAGGAGGGGCAGGATGCTGAGGCAGAGGGACAGCCAGGCAGCGAGAGGAGAGAGATCAGAGGCCTTGGCTGCGACGATGAGAACTGCAGGGATTTGGATGGTACCGGGAGGGAAGGAAGGAAGACGGAGGAGAGAGGAGAAGAGGGTTAGGCAGAGGGGGAAGGAGATGGAGACAGCCAGGCAGGGAGGGAGAGAGGAAGGGAGGAGAAGGAGGAGGAGAGGAGGAGGGACAATGAAAGGACAGCCAGAAGACCCAGAGCCTGACACATGGGGTAAACATAGCATGAAACCCAGGGATAGCCCTGGCCAGCTGCTCAGAAGTTAGAGCATCGGCCTGCACACCTGAGGGTCATGGGTTCGATTCCCACTTAAGCGCACGCACCTGGGTTTCAGGTTCAATTTCCCAGCCCCAGGTGGGGGTGTTTGGGAGGCAACCAATCTCTCATTTCTTTCTCTCCCTCCCTCCCTCCACTCTTCCTCCTCTCTCTCTCTCCTCTCTCTCTCTCCTCTCTCTCTCCTCTCCTCTCTCTCCTCTCCTCTCTCTCCTCTTTCCTCTGTCACTCTCCTCTCTCTTCTCTCCTCTGTCTTTCTCCTCTCTCCTCTCTCTCTCTCTCTCCCTCCTCTCTCTCTTCTCTCCTCTCTCTCCTCTCCTCTCTCTCCTTCTCTCCTCTTTCCTCTGTCACTCTCCTCTCTCTTCTCTCCTCTGTCTTTCTCCTCTCTCCTCTCTCTCTCTCTCTCCCTCCTCTCTCTCTTCTCTCCTCTCTCTCCTCTCCTCTCTCTCCTTCTCTCCTCTTTCCTCTGTCACTCTCCTCTCTCTTCTCTCCTCTGTCTTTCTCCTCTCTCCTCTCTCTCTCTCTCTCCCTCCTCTCTCTCTTCTCTCCTCTCTCTCCTCTCCTCTCTCTCCTTCTCTCCTCTTTCCTCTGTCACTCTCCTCTCTCTTCTCTCCTCTGTCTTTCTCCTCTCTCCTCTCTCTCTCTCTCTCTCTCTCTCTCTCTCTCTCTCTCTCTCTCTCCTCTCTCCTCTCTCCCCCCCTCCTCTCTCTTCCACTCTCTAAAAACCAGTG